GTAATCAAGAGGACTGAAGATGGAGATTGACATTGCATTAAATTTATGAAGTTTAAAATTGACTGGAAAGTATGGAACCGGACGTTCCACAAACGAGAAGTGCGTGAAAAGAAACTGTTTGCAGTGAACTGAAGGTTACGTCTAGCATCGCAAGTGTAAATTGATGAGACCACGTCGACAGTCTAATACTTCGCTTTCATAAAGGCTGTGTACCATAGCTCATCCTAACAATTACCACAAACGTTTTTCTAGGAAAGGCACAGGAGTTGCGGGGGGGGGGAAGTGACTGAAGCTGAGACGCCAGGTCAGGACCAATAATATTGCTGATTCTTTCAAGTATCTCTAGATATATAGCAGGAGCTCCGAACCGTAAATGACAACAATATTATAAGCGTAGACGAATGGTAGATATGCAAGATAGATTCTGGAGAGAAAGATTGTCTAGCACGAGAGAGTGATGCACATTTCTTAGTAGCTGATCTAGGATTCAATATAATATTTTCACTTTGCCGAGAACGTTAGCCTGAGAAGGGGCAACGATTGACTCTCCTAGAGGTTAACATCAGCCATGCAGATGACAGGCAAAAATCGGTCTCTCAGATGATTAATAGAAAGCAGTTTAATGTTGCAGGTGTTAAAATTAACAAGCCTTCCTTTGCATCAACCGTCAATTTGACTTTATCGAAATGATCAGATTTAATAAACAAGAGTAAATTGTTGTGTCATCAGTATAGAGAAAAGTCGGTTCATTGTGTTATGCCAGTCAATTTTTCTCATCGGAATGCATCTTACACATTTATCAATCCACCATTCGTTCGTGCACTGCATACTGTTGCCATCTCTTTTCTATATACCTTGAGGTTCTTGATAAAATTCAAAGAAATGCCTGTGATGATCCTGAATTGGCATTTCGAATTGACGTGGTTTTCCTTTGTTTTTTCTGCAAGTATTTTCATAAGAATTTCTCTGATGAGCTTTCCACTGCCAAGACTACATGAATTTAAGCGTGCTACTACATTGGCAGTTAGGTCTCACTATATATTCTATTCTAATAGTTTCTTTGATGGAACTTCTCGCCTGTGGAACTCGCTTCCGATTTCTTGATTCCCTGTCACCCATAATCTTCAAAAATTAAATGCAACGCCAATTTTCTATCTTCCTGAATCCAGTACTTTTATTGTCCTTTCTACTCAGTTTTTTTTTCTCATTCTCTTTTGCATCCAGCACCCTCGTGGGTCCTAATGGCATTATCGCTTTACATGATTTGAAATGATTTTTATTAAATGGTAGATAGATAGATATATTTGTTTTGTCTTTCTGTCTGAATTTCTGTGATTACATTATATATATGCGTGTGACGTCGTCCCCCGGTCGCAGCGTCGACTGTGTCGTTCGATTCCGTTCGCGGCGCCAATTGTGACGTCACGTGCTCCCCAGGCTCTGATATCCTGGTCACGGACAGCACCAGTTGTGACGTCTTTTGTCGCGGCGTCAGCTGTTCGCTCCTCGCTGCTCCAAACGTGACGTTCTAACCCTTTGGTTAGATTGATACCAGCCTCGTCGTTCTCAACACGCTTCCAACGCCTGGTTACCAGGGTAACTGCACTGATCTCCGGTCTGCCTACCCACGTTGTGACTTGATCTTAGACAGACAAGATCAAACAGGGCTTGAGGCCGTAATGCAAGTTGAGTCTAACGGGGGTGATAACACACAATTATGTATAAAATAAAAGAAATAAAATAAAAACTCACAAGGTCCAACGTATCAAGAAAAAGGTAACAAACTTTTATGTCTAATTGCTCGGTACATAGGACTATGTCTACTTCCCGACGTTCTGTGGATTGTGGCACGACGCTTTTACTAGGCAACTTTAAGGCTTCCAGTTGTCTGCTCTCTAAGAAATTTGTGTTTCGGCGTGTCCTTGGATGAAAGTCGAAAAAAAAACTTATTTCTGTGGTCTGATTTTAAGTCGCTCTTCAAACTACTTGTTTTTGGTTGAAGAAGAGTCCAGAAGTGTGCGTGAATCTTGGTTAGCTATCTTGACGCGGTTTCAACACTGGGCGCTTATCTCTGCTTGTCGTTCACGGCTCAAACTCCAACTCAAACTCTCTCGCCGTCCGCTCTCAAACTTCTTCTCTTCAGAGTCTGAATTACGGTTCACTCATCTCCGCCGTCAGTGCGCGAATTAACTTCTTCTCTTCAGCTTGCTCTGATTCAAACTTCTCCACTTAGGCCAAACGAGCCGCTTCACTTCGGCCAAACGAGCTGGCCTCTCCTGCCCGCTATGGGGGGGGGGACGAATCCGGCCCGCCGTCCGCGGCTGATCTCTCTTGCCGTCCGCGGCGTAACTCTCTCTCGCCGTCCGCGGCTGCCACTCTGATTTCTGTCGGTTGGGGTCCCGCTTTTATTGACGCCGTCAAAACTGGGGTGGGTCTGTTTGGCGTCGGGGATTCTCTTTTGATAATTCTAAATACGTATCCACCCTTCTTATTTCTGGTTAGGGATTTTCCACCATCGGCAACTCACTTTCACTCCCACCTCCTTATTGTGTCTCTGAGGGCGTATACCCGCTTCCCGCTTCTTCGTATCGGCCCTCACACTTACACTTCTGACAAGGGCGTCGACCGATTCTCCTCGTGCGTCACGTGACCGCTCTCGGCCAATGAGGTCCTGGTCGGGTATCTTTCCTCCTCCTTCGTGCGCCACGTGATCTTATTTAGCCAATGACGTCCTGGTCGGGTATCTTTCTCCCCTTCGTGTGTCATGTGATCCCATCTAGCCAATGACGTCTTTAGTCGGGCGTGGACAATCCGTGGCTTTGTTCTGGGGAAGAAACACCTTGCTTAAAAAAAATAAAATTTAAATCGCCCTTATCATAAGCAACTGCGATGACATCTTCGGCTTTTTAACACGTGGTATTTGTCAAGCAGTTTATCGCTAATTGGATACGACCTAAGAAAGGGATTTCTCAGACCTGTTGGCGTTTCCGTGAACGAATAAAAATAATTCACTCTTTTTTCCCGGCCAAAGACCCGATAATAAAAATTTTCATTATCTCAAAAAAATATTTTCAGCGAACATCATCTTGTGTGGCTTTTTTCCAATTCTGGAAATTGTCTGTGTTTTCGTATTAATGGTTTGTCTTCATATCCTTAGATACTCTTCCCACCTGTTACCTATCATATTTTTCATTGTCTCTAAACTTCGTTTCTTCAACCATTTGATAACAAACTTCCATTTTTCGTGGACACGGAAGTAGGTCAGGTGCTTGACCTGGATATCTTCCGGCATCTGTTATGTGTCTGTCGAGCGTGTGTGTGCTCGCTTATGACCTGTTTTCGTATTATTTATTTTTTCTCTTTTTCTTCTGTCTTCTCTTTCTTTCTCCCAGATCGCTTGAATGTAAAGAAAGAATTATTCCTAACCCCGAAATATTTTTCAGCCCTAAATAATTATCAAATGGTTGACAAACCGTAAAAAACAAATCATATATTTATGAATATTTCTTCTCAGCTTGCCAACTATGTATGGTCACATGCGGACTATTTTCTACATTTCGTGATTCTTAACATAACGTTTCGGTCGTTGTACTCCCATCCGCCTTCATCAGGTGTATGTCGATCTGGGTATTCTACAGAGAATTTTGGAATGAACTCTTTATTTAAAGTACGTGTGTAAATTATATTTCGTGTAGTTCTAATTTTTTAGATTCCTAACCCAAGATAAGTGTTTTGTTCAACTCTTTGAGCCAGAGACAAAGGGACAATGAATGCAGCGGAAACAACTCTCCTCATTTCCTCTGCAGGGAAGCTGATGGTTACAGCTTTTTGGTATGTAAAAGGCATTGCCCTTCAAAAGGGTCACAGTATCAATGGAGAGTAATATGCCAACTTGCTGAGGCAGTTACGAAGATCATCAAAACCAATCGCCCAGGAAAACTGACGAAAGGGGTCAGGTTTCATCAGGACAATACTCCAGCCCACAAGTCCTTGCTTTCAATGAATGCTGTGTGACTGTGACCGCGCCCGCCATTCACCTGATTTGACTATCATATTTTCCTAAGACGACAAAACATTTGACTGAGAACCAGTATTGCAGTGAGGATAACATAGCAGAATGGACAGTCTTCTTTGAACAGTCAGACTTCAGTTCACCTGGAAAGACACAATGCATTTATTAATGAGAAGTTTTGAAATTAATGCATGCAAGATTTCAAAACTCTGGTATTACTCCTTCGCAGTCAGATGATGAACTTGTCAGCCAACACTCGCCTGTGTATTTTTGTGATGTTAATGTATTTCCAATGGGTTAATCGCCACAGAGCATTGTAAACCATTTTGCTATAAAAATACGTTGTAAACGATTTTATTATAGAAATGCATTATAAATGATTTCGTTATAGAAATCCCTTGAAAACTTGAAAATAAAATGAACGATTTCTCAATAATCAAAAATTAATGCTGGCATTCCTTTAAATTAAATTAATGAGGACTCTGAAAATCCCACGAGTGTTAATATATTAACATTACTCTCGCATATGTATTTCTGCAATTACTGGCAGAAGGGATATATATATATATATATATATATATATATATATATATATATATATATATATACGACTTGGTTTAAAGGGTGGGGTTGATCACTTGTAGGACGCACCTCACCGTCAAACTTCATTAGCACAAGCCTGCAGCATGCCTTACGCTACTTTACCAAATGCAGGAAACCCAACCAATTCTTTGTTTGCGAAGCCAAGATGATATTGAATATACATTTACATATAAAATTAAAGTAAACAAGTCTATAAAAATAAATACATTACGCCACAAATAAATACATAAAGAAAAAAATAAATTAACACATCAGATCTCCGTGGTGTCGGTCGCGCAACAGTGAACAAGTGAGTTGTGTTTTCTCAAAAAAATAATAAAAGAAAGAAACAAAAAAAAAAATAAGAGAAAGAACAAACAAAGAAAATGTTTCAAAAAATTGTCCACTTCTGTGGTTGCTTAAGGACACATCACGTTAAAATACCGGTTATGGTACGATCACCGAGGTTAAGCAACATCAAAACTTGTCAGTACTTAGATGGTTGACCACTTGAGAATACCAGCTACGGTGTGGGTGGTGTAATGGATACAGGGTCGGAATTGTTAATCGGAATGTCGAGTCCTTATTTCAGTTGGTTCGTTATTACTGACAGAAGATATATATATATATATATATATATATATATATATATATATATATATACGCAAATACTCATGGGAAAAGTATGAATTCACCTTTTCTTCCCCAAGCTATTGGTTAGTTATTAAAACTTGTATCACTAAAGTCATTATTATCGACATAAAATACTTAAAATATAAAAATATTTTCTGCCTTTAAATAACCCTCTGTGGTTGATAAGCCACTTGTAGGTTAATTTTATCCCCAAATGATTTACATATGATTTTGCATATATGTTAAATACCTTCTAATACAAAATTAAAGCTTATTTTTCTGACCAGTGGAATTGGCCTAAGGGAGGTCTGAAATTGCCATATAAAACAAATGGTATCTTTTACCCACGTTCTATCTATGAAGTATAAGCAGTCAATTCCGACAATAAGAAAATAAAAAGAATCGCACATTTAAGCAAGCGGGATAATACGATATATGAATTGCTTATGCTTTTAATATAGAAACATCCTAATTAATTTTACTATAGTAAGATCCTAATTAATTTTACTATAGCAAAACAGTAAAATTAATTTTACTATAGAAAAACAGTAAAATTAATTTTACTATAGCTTCATATCTCACACCTCTCGCTTGTGGAACTCCCTTCCCTTTTCCTGTTTCCCTGATAGCTACAATCTCCAACTATTCAAATGTAATGTCAATCGACATCTCCAGTTGCCTTGATCTATCCACTATCCTTCTCCTCATCCTTTCTTCTATCACTCCTATCTGATCTTGTTCTAAATCTTCTGTAACCCCTTGCGTCCTAGTGACTTCGCGCCTTGCTACGAGTGAAATGCTTAAAAAAAAAAGAAAAGAAAAACATTGCAATTAATTTTACAATAGGAACATTATAATTAATTTCACTAAAACTGTTTATTTAATTTTATTATAGCAAAACATTATGTTTAATTTTACTATAGGCAACGTTATAATTAATCTTACTATAGCAAATCATTACAATTAATTTTACTACAGATAAGATTATAATTTTTTTCTTATAGCAAAAGATTATGATTGATTTTACTATAGTAAGACGTCATAATTAGTTCTACTATAGTAAAAAATTGTAAATAATTTTAGTGTAGGAAATGTTATGATTAATTTTACTATAGAATGACATATAAATGTTTTGTCATTTAATATAAGTATAAATTGGAAATAAAGATCTTATCAGTAGTAAGGAATTAAAATCATTATTTGAATAAACCAATATCAACATATCTCTCTGACAGACTTGTTTCTCTCTATAAGAAAAAAGAGATATGTGAAAATTAATTACACGCTCTTTCTTCATCGATATTTTTTTTTCCACCTTCTCAGATATCCCTAATTTCTTTGTCTCTCTCTCTCTCTGTCTGACTCTTATTTTCCTTTCCTATGTTTATTTTTCCTTTTTTGTCTGACTTGTGTTTTCGGTGGAGATTACGCCGAGAGTACACAAATCAAAATATGTAATGACACTGAACTGAAACGATGCTCACATTATCCGCTTGAGAGACAAACCGACGACGTCTGCATTGAAGGGAGCTAAACAGAGATTGAAATTATTCCAAAATGGCGGGTGGTGTGTCGTATGAGTAGAGAACTATAAACACACATAAAACTTGGGTCATTTCTTGAGACATCTCACCAACCATCCACACAACTCTAATCACCATTGAAAGAGAGAAAAGAACTGAATATTGAAAAAGATTGGTGTGAAACTTGAAGGGTACAATGAGACGGGATAAAAGAAGCAAAGAAAGAGAGTAGGATGTAAAGAGAAAATAAATGGAAGCTGTGATTGGATAGTTGTAACGTAAGTCGCCTCGATAGGCATGTAGTAGTGTGACCGATGTGATTATTTATGAGTTCGGTTAAGCGGCATTTGAACACAGCTCAACGCATGCACACAAACAGATTCTATCCGAAACATACTAGTAGAAAACACAAGCATAATAACGGCATTTAAATGTTTATATGATTAAGAATAATGGAAGCCTTAATAATAAAAGTATTTAAAAAAAAAGAAAAAGCCAATACTCAATAATATTAATGTTGAAACTTGACTAATGCATGGAATAATAATACAACACAAAATGTACTTAGAACAAAATGTATTGGAACAAGAAAGTGTACACAAGATTTACATATAGTCTTTTGTATATTCCTGGTAAGACCGTTCCTGGAGAATGGGTTGACTTAGTCGCAGTCGGGCAGAGTCTCTGGATTGAATCTCTTGATTCCTCCCCTCGTCTTCCCGGTACCAACCATATTTATATGGTCGGTACTCCACTATGCAAATTAGGTGGATCCTACCACAACAATTAACTACGAACATGGCCACAACGTGCTGACAGTGTTCGGAAAATAAAACATCCCTCTAGATACATACACATAACCCATACTTACATTAAAAACTAAAAATAAAATCATCCTGGATAATTACTAAAATTATAGCCGAAAGCGCTATAAATTACAGAACATTAGGCCAGTTTCTACGGACTCTGTATCCAGAAAATAAAGAACTTTATCTGCCATCTTTAATGAAAAGGTTATAATAAAAATAATTAATATTGGATTAAAAAATACTTCAAAAATATATATAAATATAACATATATCTCAATATATATAAATATAAAATTGGACATTGAGGTAAACACCACGCGGTAACAGTCTGTTTCATACACAATCGTCAGGCCATCGATTATTTAAATATGCTCTTTTCCTGATATTGAGCACTTTAACCCATAAACATCGCATACCTTAAAAATATATTTTATACTATATATATATATATATGTGTGTGTGTGTGTGTGTGTGTGTGTGTGTGTGTAAGAAAACCTGAGCGATCTCCCATGTCGCAGATATCGAGCAAGAATAAGTATTTTCTGTCTTATTTGAGAAAATCTTGCTTTTGTATATTAGATAGGTTATTTCTCAGTATTCTGTGTTTTATTATCACAATATGTTGAAAGGCACTAACTCATACTAACATGTTTTTTTCTGCTTATTCTTCTTCTATGTGCTGTGCCCCTTCAAGACGTCGGCGATCATGATCCTCCACAATTTCCTGTCTTTTGTAGCTCTTAATAACTTCTGCCTTTTGGTTTTCTCTTTTAAAACTTACTCCGCCATCCATTAATCCAACTCGCTATGTAGGCAATGCGTTGTTTTCCTCTGCCCCTCTTGCCGTCAGTCTATCCTATGAGTATCAAATTTTCCAAGCCCTCTTTCCTCATTATGTGCCCAAGTAGTTTGAACTAGATCTTCCTGATGGGATGGAATCTCAGTCCATGGTAATCTCAGTATCCTTCTGAAAATTCACAATTCTTCTTGCTTCAAGTCTTTTCTTCATCTGTGTGTCTAGCATTCAAGACCATATTAGAAGGTCTGATATTATATAAATAGTATTTTGCATGTTTCTAACAACTACTCCTGTTTCGTAATTCTTTGCTTAGCCCTTGGAATGCATTGTTCGCTATCCCAATGTGGCTTCGGATTGCGGCGACACACTTCCTGTTCTCTCTTAAATCACTTCCTAGATATTACTTATATTTTAAACGGAGAATCTACGATTTGGGTTGGGGCGGGGAATGTGATTTCTTCTTTCGTGATTGAAAGAAAAAACTTGAAACTACTAATCACAGGTACATCGTATACAAGATTCCAAACTTATATCATGCTTGTCAGTTCAGAGTCATTTAGTTCAGCAGACAAGTCCTGGTGATGTTTTTAAACACACGCGACTAAGTAGAGTGCCTCATCTGAGCTTAAATTAGGATCTGGGTTACTGACGAGTGTCGTGGGCCAGTGACTCACGGTTTTATTTTGGTCTGATGGTTGTGGTCGGGTGTAGAGCAGATCCTGTGAGGCCACTGGAACCCAGTTGTCAATATGTACCGTGAATGTTGTGGTTGGTTCCATAATAGTGGGGGGGGTACATGTGACATGGATGACGTCCCATGGTTCGCTTATATTGCCCTATTTTGTGGTGATTTACATCTTTCATGAACTGCAAATGAGTTCAAGATATTCTAGGACATCAATGATTATGATTATATTATATCGATAAATAGATTTGGACAGTTAGAGTTTATTAGATAGATAGATAGATAGATAGATAGATAGATAGATAGATAGATAGAACAGATATGAACAGATAGATAGATAGATAGATAGATAGATAGATAGATAGATATGAACAGACTAAGATAGATAGATAGATAGATAGATAGATAGATAGATAGATAGATAGATAGATAGATAGATATGAACAGACTGGGATAGATAGATAGATAGATAGATAGATAGATAGATAGATAGATAGATAGATAATCATAAAAAAGACAAAAGAAAAATAAATAAAAAGTTAAAGACACCGAAAAAAAATCAAGAAAGGAAATGTAATAAAAAGAATAAATGAAGAAGGTACGAAAGAAGGAAAGAAAGAAAGAATAAAAAAAGGAATGGAAAAGGAAGAAACAATAAAAGAAAAAGAAAGAATAAGAAAGCGAAGAGTAAATATAAAATAAAAAATATAGTTTAAAAAAGAAATAATGAATAAAACTAAAAGGAAAAAGAAAAAGAATAAAAGAAAGGAACTAACATAAAGGAAAGTTTTTAAAAAAACATGGTGGATTTAGGAAAAAACAAAGAAATTGAATAAGCGTCGGAATAAGAAAAAACGATGAAAGTGAAATGGAAAAGAAACAGAGGGGAATAGAAAATAAATAAAAAGAAAGAACGAACGAACAATGAAAGAAAAAAACAAATAAACAGACAAACATTATGAACAAATCAACAAAAATAAAAATAAGACGGAAACAATGAAGTTAAATAGTAAAAAAAAATAAAGGGAAAAGGAAAAATTATTGCAAAGAAAGAAAGAAAGAAAGAAAGAAAGAAAGAAAGAAACTTGTTTCTTTTTTTAACAAATCAACGGAAGTAAAAGAAAGACGGAAACAATACAGTGAAAAAGGGGGAAGAAATGAATAGAAAGAAAGACATACAGAAAGAATTAATAGAAAGAAATCAAAGGAAGAAAAGTCGATCCAAAACTGAAAGTGAGTGACAGAGAAATGGTTCAGTCGGAATAATTCGGATTCAATGCGAATCACTGAGGCGTGACATAATCAAATTCCTGTCTCAGATTTCTCTACGAAATGTAAGGAATCCCAAATGGGGCGTAGCTATGATGAGAAATGGAAGTGGCGTGTAGATAAATGGTGGGCTGTCCCTGGTCCCGAAAAATAAAAGCGAATGCTCAATGGTCCGTAAAAGGGTTAAATACAAGAAAAGACGGGCCAAGTTAACGCTCGATGGAGAGCAACTTTGCTGAAACGACCATAAAATCTCTCTTTTATGTTCTGTTTTGTGTGAAGTTGGTTTAATGTAGAGATTCCGGGTTAGAGGGGAGACGTCGAATTCGAGCGAAATCCCGGAAACATTCGCTGGTTTTACGCAAATGGAATAATGTAGTGCCGTCGTTATGTCTAAATCTGTTTCGTTTTAATGCTGAAATATTGCAGTTGGATCAAGTGGGGTCATGTAGCTCAGGATAGGTGAGGTAGGGAGAAAAGTCATGGCAAATCGTTTAAAGATATCGTCTCTCTTGACATAGTAAATAGAAGAGCATTTGCAGTTGATTGATTTTTATTTCTTAAAACAAAATCCGTAGATCAAATCTATAAGCAAATAAAGAGCCATCGCACTTTCCAAATAAATGTGAACTTGAGGGTTTAGCTTGATTGTTAGTGTACTGGGTTGAATTTTTCAAGGTTCAGTGTTATTCTGTTGACGAATTAAGACGAATTAAAACGAATTTTGTAGAATTACGACTCTTGTCTACGCTTCGTATTTTAATAAATTTTTGGGGTTTAAATTTTATCTTCTTTCGAAACACTCAGATGTATATTTAAATCGTTGAATGTTTACAGAATTAACAAGTCCACATCTAAAATTGGATAACACTATCAATACTAAATTTAAAACAATACAAGCCAGGAGAGCCACTCAATTTAGATAGTTACTGTTCAAATGGTTATGATGAATGAGGTGTTCGTTAAGAAAGAAAGAGGAGGTGGTAGGAAGTGAAGATTAGGAGGATAACGTTATTATCATGCAAAGTGCTCGGGTCAACTATATTCCTTTGTTCCACCAGTTCTAACCTCCACGGCTATGACCTCACATACAACATACATATTATCAAACCACACACATTCCCTCCGTATTCAACTGGCGAGAAGTTCCACTCGAACAGCTTATTTCTGCGAACCACTGCCGTGTGGAGCAGAATCCCAAGAGGATGTTTTCTTCATCCTTACAATCTTAACCTGTTCAAGTCTAGGGTTAACTATTAAATTCCTCACCTATCCATATAAACTACCAATTAACGTAACCCACTACCTCGAGTTTTGTTCAGGGTTACTGTAAAAAATAACAAAAAAATAAAGAGTACTTGAGTCAGATGAAACTGAACACAGGACTATGTTTTGGAATAGGAAAAAATCCCAGCATGCCTTTGTGTGTTTCTGTCTATAGAATGGGGAGGGGAAAGCTTTTTTTGCAGTCATTCGCAGATAGGATTGAAAACAATATTCCGTAAAAGATTTTTAACTCTCTCAAGGCTGGAATGTAAAGATCATGCAGCTTCAGCCGAAATATGGCAGAAAATCTGACTGTTTTAATGATAATGCATTGCAGAGACAAACAGGTAATTCCAGGAGTGATAGAAAAAGTCGAATACTTTCCCGACATATTTTTTTACCAAAGTGTTTTTTCTGTTTTTCACGTAAGATAACATTTCGGACATTTACTTTTAAAAAGGCTTCATTCAAAATAATCGACTACATTATTCTGATGTCAGTCTTACTAGTGACACACCATTTTTTTTTTAGTTTTCAAAAGTGATGATTTCTTTAATTGCTGCCATCATCTAAAATGGAAGATTATAAGCATTTTATGATTTTCATTTTAACCAAAATGAAATATACGAGTAAAATACTGAATACAAAAGATTTGTACAATGTATAGAGACGATATTTTTAATGTTCGATCGTGACAAAAGGGCAGAATTCTCACTGAGTAATGTTTCACAGTCGGTAAAGTACGGATGATCTAGGAAAGGGCATAATTGCTTGTAAATAATTAATGTTTATCATCGCGATATTCAACATACTCAAAATAACCAAATCAAGAAATTAAAATGAGTTGCAAAAGGTTTGGTAATGTTAGTCGCATTGATACGTTAATTTCGCAACAAATACAATCTGCGTACTGTGTTTAAACGATCTATTTCTCGGCATATTAAGGCCGATGAAAAACAGTTTAAAACAATGTGTAAAGAATGAAATTGCATTGCAAACGAAATAAAGCATTACTAACAGTACCAAATCAGATCTTCATTCGGATGAATTAATACTAAAAAATAATGACATCAAAGGGAACGTATTTATAAAGATTTCTTCCTGATGCCCAAACGATGGATTTGAATAAGTACTGTACCCAATAGAAGAAACTGCTGGCAGCAAAAAAAAGCTCCAGAATTTGTTCATGCGTAGATCATAATATTACTTCCCGAACATTTATAGGAAAATAATGCTGAACATCCCTGTATCTTTAATGTTTCGATGTAAAATTTAACCAGTATTTCTTGCCGTTCTATCCTACAACACACACTTATTCATTATATATATATATATATATATATATATATATATATATATATATATATATATATATATATATATATGGAACCGTCATTTACGCTGAATTGTCGGACCTTGTCCATTTCTTAATATATGACTTCATTTGTTTATTTTGATACGCCAGAGCAGTTATGAATGTACGAGATTCATGGAAGATTGAAGTTTATAAGCATATATATATATATATATATATATATATATATATATATATATATATATATATATATATTTATTTTTAAAAGTATGTATTTGGTCTTTTACTGAAGAGAGTGTACCCATCGGCAGTTATATTTTTTTAATCGAAAATATTTTTATTACTTCGAGCGTTATTTTTAGTGGATACCTGTGTTTGAGTAGAAGCTCCGTTTACTTTAAACAGTGTTAATTTGGCTTTTGTCGTAATTGAGAAAGAAAAAAAATAATGTAATATTAAATATTAAATATATATCATATTAAAAAAGGAAAATTCATAAATTCTTTAAAAATTGATTTTACACGAAATAAAATAGTGTTTAAAATAAAGACAGCGTCTATTCAAATATACGTATCCACTAAAAAGAACGTTTGAATTTATATCTAGACACACTGATGAGCTGTGATACAGCGAAACAGTGTGTCCGTGGATGACAATATATGCTCCTGAAAATTATTTTTTGTTGAGCACGATGGGTAGAAAGGGCGAACTTGTAAACAGTGACGACTACTGCTGCTAATGCGAGTGTCTTCTATTGAATTGAGTCCTCTCGGTCACTGGTGTGTTAGTTCAAAAAAATAAATACGCTAAAATTAACCTTCCTCTCTGCTGTGTACTTAGGTAGCTTAGGGTAGATTCAACGATTGTTTCGATCCCGGCTGGAAGCAATCGGATGTCTAGCCACGTTGATGAGCTGTGATACAGGGAAATAGTGTGTCTGTGGATAACTATATATATATATATATATATATATATATATATATATAGTACTTGGGAAAATAAAAATTATTTGAAAGAAAATTTTGGTATTTTTCTTAATCAATTTTCTACGGCTACCAAGAAATTGATTCGTGGACTGGAAAGGATTAAAACGAAAATAATCAGACATAATAGTATGTCTAAATTATTTACCCAAACATATTTTAATGAACATATATATACACGCAAACACACACACGCAAACACACACACGCAAACACACACACACACACACATACACAAGTGGCCTGACTTCATGAATTTAAGTTTGCTACTAGGCTGGAATCTCCGCTCCACAATTTTACTGTGAAAAGACTTAAATGTAAGCGCCTCTTCTACTTCAACAGATTCTTCTCTTGCACTTCCCGACAGTGTAACTCGCTTCCTCTTACTTGCTCCCCTAATAAGTATAATCTTCAAAACTTAATATGTAATGTCAATCAATACATTCTGAGGCGTTGATTGCTGTTCTTCTCTTTATCCTCGTCCATTCTACTTTTTATCCTTTCCCCTCTAAATACACACACACACACACACACACACACACACACACATATATATATATATATATATATATATAGATAGATAGATTGATATAGATATATATATATATATATATAGTATTTATTAAAAAAATTGAACATAAATATGTTATAAATCACTACAAAAATAGCCATCTTGTTTCAACACTTCTGGTGTCTTGTCAAATGTTAGTGTTGATTGCAGAATAAAGAGTTTTAAAAAGTTCAAAAGCAACCAAACTTCCCTCAGTAGGGGAAACATTGTTATGTAAGCTACAATGACCATTCAAAACACAAGTATATGATAATTCAAAAAACTTGACAACGATTCTTATATACACTTTATTAATGCCTTAATTTTAATGTTAGTCTAAATTAGAAATCATTCTAACTGATTAATTTTTAATTTTACTATAAAGTCAAAATATAATAAATTACAAATTTTCAGTTAGAGCAAACGCTGATCTAAAGAGATTCAAACATCGTTACAACTCAATTCCTTGGTTCCAATTCAATTGATACAATTCAAAGGATCTGTATTCAGATGCTGTGGGCAGGGTAAGAAGTTTTACAAATGACTAGACAGACAGAATTACATCATATTACAT